GAAGAGAGAACATCTCTGTGCTCAGGAGAGAGGTTGATCTACTGATGGTGGTGTCAGCCCTGCGTAAAGCTGCTAGAGATTAGCCAGTATGCTTGGTCTCTTCCTTCGGCCTGAGGGATTCAAATGACATCATCTGTTTGTTCAGGACAAATGTAAGGGGCTTTCTCTGAGTAAGGGATTGACTACATTCATCAGATATGTACTCATCAGACAGCAGTCCCATAAAGTCTAAGGGACTATCAACAACCTTGTTACAGTGGAAATTTCCTATTGGATATGGTATTTATTACAAGATTTAAAGTATTTTGATAAATCCTTTCTGAGCATGTTACCAAATTGAGCTAGAATTTGGAGTTAAGAAGGACTGGATTCTGGTTCTGCTTTATTAGCTATATGAGCTTAGGCGAGTTAGTTGGTCTACAAGTCCATTGGTCTTTGAGCCTCAGATTTCTCATCAATAAAACGGGGTTATAGCATATCTCAGTATCTTATGAACTTGAAGTGAGATCTTGATTAGGAAAGCATATAGTAAGTTGTCAGTAGGTTGATGTTAATTTTAAGTAGACCTACCTAAAAGCATTGCTGTCTTCTAGGCCCTCCAGAACCTAGTCTCAATCAATTTAATGACTGTGTAGCTCTCAAAACTCATCCACCTATCCTTTTCCCTGATGAGTTTCCTTTCTCTTAGACATGTACCACCTTCGCCCCTCCCCAGCTCAGCTCTGTTTCAGAGCTCACCTGCTTAGATGGTCCTGGCCCGTTCTCTGTGCTTTGCAAACCTCAGAGATTCCTGTGCGCATCCTTGAAGATACATTGGTCCACTCTGGGCCCCAGTTTCCTCATCAGTAGAACAAGTTGAACCTGAAGATTTAGGTCCCCTTCCAGCCCTCACATTCTGCAATCCAGCCATATTCCAGTGCACTAACAGTAGTTTGAGAGGGTGAGAGCAAGCATATTGTCTAGCCAATGGCAAGTAACTGATAAAAAGTCAACATGCGAGTGTGAATAATTAATCTATTCTTTGTGATAGGGAGATATTTTCTTCAATATTTAAATGGATTAGAACATGTGAGTGAAATATACCTCTGATTTCTTCATCATAATTATTGTTAGAAAGTCACAATTTGTTGAGTGATTGCTGTGTGCCAGCCATTGTTAGGAACTATTCTACATATCACGATTACTACGTATTGGGCATTTTGACTATTTACTTTGTGTTTGATACTTGTGGTTGCCTCTAATCTCCACAGAGTCCTACAAAACAGATTTACAGATGGGGAATTGAGGTCTAAGTAAATCAGTGAAGGTCATCAGGCTACTAACTGGCAGAGGCAGGTTCAGGATCCCTCACGGAAGCCCACTGGCTGGCCAGTATCACCTAGCTTAGTTCTTAGCTTGTCAATTTGTTGATACTTGTGTCCTAGGACTGGTAGTTACTCTAGCTGTGTTTTTGATGCAGTTCTGGGCTCTATCCTAGACTAAGAATTGGTCCTCTCTCTCTAGCTAAAGTGGCCAACCTGTAAATTGCATGGGAAAACCCACCTGGACTTGGGACCCTCCCTCTTTTGGCATGTTGGAGACAGCCCAGCTCATCTCGGCTCCCTCCCCATTCCCCTGCTCTAAGTACCTGCCCTCTTGTCTCAGTGCTCACCAAGACTAGAAGGAAAACTGGAAATCCGTAATACTGTTTGCCAGGCCTTTGCTTCAGCCAGAGGAGGGAGATTGTGTGGTGGACTAATTAGAAAAGGACTGCAAATTCAAATTTCAAATCCAGGAGCCTTTAGGAACTGACCGGTCAGCTCACTTGTGCCTCATTCTCCTATACTGTGTCATGTGCGAGAGGATTTGCAAAAGAAGTATTCCCAGGCTTTTCAGTAAAGGACGCTTGAATGAACTGTGGGCATGCTAGAGCCAGGTGGGTGATGGCAACTACCTTGGGCCCAGAAGGTCCGGCAGCAGCTGTGGATGGACGGCTTGTGGCTGGAGAACAGTCCTCAAACAGCCTCCGTTCTTATCAGCATTCCACATCTCTGCAGCCCCTCCTGTCTGCAGTGCTTCCTGCTGGCCCTCTCCTTGGAAGACAGTGTTCCTGTCTAATGCCTGAGGCTCTTACACAGAAAGGCAGGACTCATAAGAAGTGTCCTCCTCCTTCTCTCTCCTCAAATCAGTCAGGTGCCAGTCCAGCCCCAGAGCTAATGCTTTTCCAGGAGAAACAGACCATGTGATGCTGGCATCTTCCCTAAACCCTGCAGAAAAGGAGCAGAAACTGCCAGGTCTGGTGAGCTCTGCTCATAGTCCATGTGATCCATGTTCTCAAGCCAAAGGGTCCTCCCAGCATAAGGTCCTCTGGGCCTGTCCCTTCAGGTCATTGCTACAGGGCCAGCATCCTGCAGAAAGCAGAGGGGCAGCCTGTGCTTCAGGCCAGCTCAGAAGGAAGGGATGGGCGTGCCAGTTTGGAGCTAGAGAAGCTACTTAGAACCCCTTACAGGGTGGGTGTGATGGCAGAATCACGTGGCTGCCTCACTTCCTGGGCCTTCTTTTCCAAGCTTTCCTAGGCTTCTCTGAGGATCAGGAGAGTAGAGGCAAGGCCAGGCTACTCATAGCACAGAGTAGTGACCCTTCTCTTCACTCCCTCTCCCTCCCCTTCCTAGAACTCCCTTCATCCCTCTGACACTAGATTACTAAATGTTGGCTGAACTGGTGGGGGCAGAGAGGAGGAATAAAGTAGCAGAAAGACATATTCACTTTATGAGTGAATGATACTCCCCATTGTCCTGCCCTATTAATTTTGCTGTTAATATTTGCCACTCTGCTAAGGGATTAAATGAGACAAGTCACTTTAAGTTTATGCCCATGCCTGACACATAGTAAGTGCTCACTAAACAGTAGCTATTATTGGTTCTTTCTTTTTCTGGGGGCTTCCCCTCAGCTCTTTCAGCCCAGCCCCTCTCTGGACAGACCTTATTGAATCAGAGGCTCGACCTGGGAGCTGGCCAGAGGCTGAGAAGCTGGAGTCACTACACAGGTGCCCATTCCTAGCACTGGGCCAGGCCTTAGTCTTCTTGGCCTGTGCAGGTGTCTCGCCTACCTGCCTTGAGGAGCAGGTGCACCTGCCTGGCTCAGCTGCATGGACGGCGAAGCCCTGTGTGGTGGGCCTGGGTCTCTTCTTTCCTCCTCTCCTGGTTCCCCACTGTAGCTTGTCCCTGCTATGGACTTGGCTTCCCCTGCTGTCACCTTTCGTACCTGCCCAGTGTCCTTTGGAGAGTTGGCAGCAGGCCCAGAGACACACATGCAGTAGAGCAGAAGATATCCAGACAGACACTTTAGGCCACTTAGAGAGGACCAGAGAAGAAAAGTGACGTTTTTAGGGTCACAAAGCTGGTTGGGGTGAAGCCACCATGAGCATAGTTGCTGACTCTCTTTGGGGCCATTTACCCTCCAGATACGCCTTTTGATTTCTCCTGCGGCTCCCTACTTGGCCCAGGCTGCTTCTATTCTCTGAGCGTCTGACAGCTATTCTAGAAATAGTAACAGCATTAACAATAATAGCAGCCACCATGGACTGAGCACTTACTCTGTACCAGGGACTGTGCTGGGACCTTTTTACACATAATGCTGACCTTCATAGCAACCCTGCAGTAGTGGCAGCGGCAATAGTAGTAGCCCCATTTTACAGATGAGTAAACCCAGACCCTCAGAGTCTGTTACTTGCCTCAGGCCACACATTAGTAGTGGAGAACATGACATCTGACTGCAGAACAGTCTGTTCCTCACTGTGTGGCATCTGGGGATGGAAGCCATGAGCATCATTCCTGTTGCCCAAATCGATTTCCTGTGCTCCTGAGAACTGAGGGTTTTAGGGCTGCCCCTACCTGAGTACTCACAGTGCCTATTTAATGGGGTTTAAAAACCGGGCAGAGTTGTATTGCTTAGCAGCATGCAAGGAAAAGACATGGTGTTTAAGAAAGGGATGGTTGGCTAAACACTCTTGTGACCCCAAACTTACTTCTGTAGTAATGATACCTGATAATGAAAAGAGGGAACTGAAGGCTTGTTGCTAGATTGTGATAGGAATGTGCATTTGGCTAATGTAGTTATACTCGGGGTTTCTGGTTCTGGCTTTGATTTCTTTGCATGTGACTTTTATTGTAGAAGACTTCTTTCAGCCTGTTCTCATTAAATCCCAAAGTAAGTAAGAATTCCCAACAGGAAGAGAGCAGCTCCAGGAGACCAGGCCCTGCTCGTTCACACTGTGTGTGCATTTGGATGTGTTTATTTGATTTGATCTGTGTGTGTGTGTCCCCTTTTAAGAAAATTTCAAAATAACTTTCTCCCAGAGATGTGGGCTCTTGGAATGGTGTTGCTGAGTAGACATCCTCCTGCCACCAGGGTCTGCTGTTCTGCTGATGTGGCTAGGCTGGTGTGGGCAGTTCATCTGCCTGCAGAAACCCAGCCCTTTTAATATGTTTTGCAAGAGGAGAGGTTCAGGAATCCATAGGGAGGGAGAAGCTGCCTCGTAGGTCAGGGAAGAACTTAGCTATGGGGGACAGAGTGGGCTGGCTTTGTGTGATTTCTCTTGGGAACCCAGAGACCTGATCTGGGTAGTTAAGAAATACCAGGAGGACACCCATGGAGTATAACCAGGGCAGGGTGCTGTTATGCCCATTTCACATACTGGAAGACTGAGAAGCAAAGAGTAGAATGGATACACAAGTTAACATGCCAGAGTTCGAGCTAGACTGGCACCCATGGGTGTGGAACCAAATGCCTATAGGTCCCAGGAGGGTAGATTTTTTATTGTTGTTACCTGTTTACCCACTCCTTTCCCTACATCCTCTAACATTCATGAGATTCTCAGTACAGTAAAATTAAGTGGTGTCAGAGTTTGGAAGTGATTTTCTTATGTTTGTTTTAAGCCCAAATTTCCATTCATTCATGTATTCCACAAGTATTTATTGAGAACTTACTTTGTGCTCATCAGTATCCGAGCTGCTGGAGATCCAGCAGTGAATGAAACACATAGGACCTGTGCCCTGGTGTAGCTTGGGCTCTGGTGGGGGAGACAGATGGTAATCATATAACCATACAACTGCCTGGCTGCCAACTAAGATGTGTGGGACAAAGACAACATCAGGGATCTGATGTGCTGCTCACATGGGACCTGCCTTAACCCCGTGGGGCTGGGAGTCTGTGTCCAGTGTTTACAGTCATCTGTTTTGTACTTGGCCAGTTGTTTTGCTTTTGCTTTTGAGCCTAAGTATAGGAATTTAAAAATTGTTCTTTTAAACTCCTTCCCAGCTCAGGCCAATTTTGCTGACCTTTCAGGGTTGTATTTAACATCCAACGTGTTAGATCTTCCTGCTGGCTTAGTGTAGTCCACAGGTTTGATAAACACACCTTTGTGTTTCTGTCCAAGGCATTGTTCTTGGTTCTGTCCAGATCAAAATGACTCCACAGTTCTTCTCCTACCACCAGAGACCTCCACCGAATAAGACTTAGATCCAGATTCACCTCCATTCCTCAGTGGTGAACAGCATTGGTTTTTTAATTAATTTCTTCCTTTGTTAGTCTTAAAATAATTTCAACTATCTACCATGTATAGGGTCTTCCAGACTCTGGCATATATATTCATTTTTGGCCAAGGACTGAATTGATTTAAAGGTTTTCTCTCCATCAGTATCTGTCTAAGGCTTCAAACCTCTGTGGTCCACATTTGTCCAGTCATTCTGTTTGGTAGGAAAGGTGGAATCAAATAGGTATTAATTCGCCTTCTTTCCCCCATGTTCTTCAAAGCCTCACACCATGACTCCTATAAAATCACTTGTTCCTTCCTCTTAAACATTTTTAGGACAGACGTGAGAGCAGGTGGTGACAGGAAGAGTGAGGATAGGCTAAAGCAAAGTGTGCCTTGGGGATACTTAGGGTCCCTGAGACTCTTCTAGAAATGAGGTGCAAATTGTTCTTGTAGTAAGATGTCACTTGCCTTTTTCACTCTCTTTCTCTCTCAGGTGGAGTTTTCTAACAGCTACAAATACTGTGATACCGCAACATACTGGCGGCAAAAGCAGATATGAAAATCTAGCTGTCTTCCATTAAGCTAGACATGAAAGAAGCTTGCAAAAATGAACAACTCTTTTTACCAATTCTTTTTTTGTTTTAGAAAACATTTTTCTTTTAAAAGTGTCATTTATGTGGGCTCATTATTGATGTTTTTAAATGAATTAATATTTATTTTAATTTCTAATATAATATGTATTGATAGCAATAACTCACAAGTGAAATCTCTTTGGGACCCTCAATAATTTTTAGTAGCATAAAGATTTTTAAGAGCATAAAGGGGCCCTGAGACCAAAAAGTTTGAGAATTGCTGAGCTAGTGAGATTACAAATTGCTCATAATCACCTAGGTGTTATGAGACACCAGTTAACTCAAGAATCAGACAGAACCCAATGGAAAAGCTTAACTTCTTACCTGATTCAGACATCTGTATAGGATGAGAGATTTATTTGGAACTATGGAAATCCTCCCCCTGGAGGAGGGGGTCTCATCTGGGTACCACCTCACTACCACGCCTTAGAGGTATGTGCCAAGGGCGGCTGAAGCTCTTCAGGGGTTGGGACTGGCGCTGCTACGTCCTGTGTGTGACATGAACATCGTCAGTGGAACCTTGTTTAAATCTCAGCCCAGATTCCTTGAGACAGCTGCAGCACAGGAATTCCCCATCTATCTGCTCTGGGCTTGCCTCCCACTCCATGGACCATAAACAGGGCTTCTTTAGCTTACAGAGGAGGGAGCTGGGTCCCAGGAGACAAATGTCCCATGAGCCCTGGCTGGTAGTCCCAGGCCAGATGTGCCCATGGGTGAGAGGCATTCTAGGCCAGATGTGGAGTTGGGGGGTATGCCCAGCACATCCGACGGCTCAGCCCTGCTTGACAGTGCCTCCTGATGCTCCGCACTCAGCTTGGAATCTGCAGCTGTGAGCAAGTGAAAACCTGAAAGCTGCCACCCCTTGTTTCCCTAGGACTCCATTGAGAGCCTCTATAGCTGGCAGCCAGGGGTTTCAAAGGTCACCCCAGCTGGGCTGATTAAAACAACAGATCTCCCTGACCGGGTGAAGTTGGCTGCCCAGCAGAAGGCAAGTTGCAACATCTGCAAGCTGAGTCAGACAAACACCCCTTAACTTTCAGTCTGGCGCTGGGCTTTGTGGTGTCCCTGGCCCTCCTTCACTGTCTTCCTTCTCAGACGGACTTTGGACAGGAATCTCTGCAGTAGAGTGGCAAAGTGTGGCTGCACACACACTCCCGACTCACGGGAGTGCTGCCCGGGAAGAGGCCACGGTAAGGTGCGTCCGTTCTCGAGCGTGGGGCCCTGTGCCAGTGTTTGCTCCTGTGGATCACAGCATGTCAGCCTGGCACCTGCCCACAGCCTGGGAGCAGCTCCCTACTGGGTGATTAGGGAATTTGTCCGGATTTGAGTGCAGCACAGGAGGATCAAGGTGGGGAGAGAGGAGCTGTCATTGCCTGGGGCATTTGCACCTGGGTGGTTTGCAGTCTCAGAAGGGCCGAGGCAGCCGGCCGGTTTGGAGTGCCGCGCTTGCAGGGAGCCTTCCCTCATACAGGAGGTATGAAATTTCCAGGATGCCTTGCTGCTGGGTCAGGTGCTTAAAGGCAATGATCATATAAAATTTATGCACTTTGGCTAGGCAAGGGGACAGCTGGTTTCTCTAAGCCTGTTCAGCCACATAACTCAATCCCTGATTTTTAACTTTCTGAATCTTTTTGCCTTAGAGTTGCACTCTATTTTGGCCATAGTTGAAAGTGTTCCTTTTTGGGTTCAAGAGACAATTTTAAATGCTTTTGATCAAACTAAAGTCATCTTAACTTACTGTTGCTTTGAATGATTAATAAATTACAGTTATTTGTGAAAACCTTATTTGGAGGTGAGGTTTGGCATAGGCATTGAATGACTGTGGGGGCCGCTCCCAGCTCTCGGCCCACAGCTCTTTTTGACTCCCTCCTCCATTTTTTCATTTCTTACTTCTCTGTCCTTTGAACTGCATTTAATGGGTATTGAACAAAACCCCCCAGCAGGGTGTGTTTTATTCCAGCCACTGAGCACTGCTCTGCCTAATAGAGAAGTTACTGCAGAAGTTACCCACCCCTCTAGTACTCTCAGTTGGAATGCGGTCACCAGGCTGAACAAGAGCTTGGAAGGAATGGTTTGGTTTGATTTATTAATACTATTATTAGTATTCTGATAGAGCATTCCAAATATGTCCACAACCATTAATTGTTCATGTGGACTGAGTCTGTTTATGCTGCTGATGGCAGTGGGTGGGGCAATGGGCTGAGCTGGGCTGTTTGGTGTGTCTGGCCAGCCCGGGCCTGGGCTCTCGTCCTGCTCACCTGGTCGTTAAGGAACTGCCCCCAACAACCACCTACCTTGCTGGGACTGGATGTTTCTTGGCTGTATTGACTTGCTGATTCCTTTTCTAACCACAAAGCCAGACTTCCCCTAGGGGTGGATGACTCTTCCCATCTTCTTGAGGCCAAGCATGTTCTTCTTGAGGCTAGCACCCAGGGCCTTCAGGAGATTTAGACAGACCTCAGAGATCTTGGATCAAGAGGATTTGCAGAGAGGGTCCTAAGCTTGATGTCACCATTCCTAGTGAAAAGCAGAGATAGGAGAATCTTGAGCCAGCTGAGGACAGTAAGGAGGCACATTCCCTGTCCCCCTTCCTCTGTGCAACTCCCAAGCCTTTATTTACCTATTGCAGCTCCCTTTCCTGAGGAAGCCGGAAACACCCAGTCTAGGTCGTGGGTGCTCCAGGAATCCGGAAGGGTGTGACTGCAGTCAAACTTCAGTTTGGTTTCTACTTAGCTATGTGACCTGGGACAAGCTCAGTGGGCTTTCGAGCCATGGTGCCCTCTTTTGCGAAGTAGCATAGTCAGAACTGCCATGCAGGCCTGTGGGGACTCAGCGAGATTAGTGTCCGGCACAGTGGGATCGTACGCCGTGGCTATTAAATGGTGCTGCTGCAATCCAGGCCACAGTGCTACAGGGGGCCACCAGGGGGCGTCAGTTCCTCCTTCCCCACCTTCCCATGGGGTTCTGCCATCTGTATCCTGCTGCTATACCATAACTCCACTCAGATAACTTTGCCCTGAAGGTGGCTGGTCTGGTCCGGGCCTCTGGCTGTCCTCGGTGAAAAGGGTCTGTGTCCTGCAGTGGGACAGTGGATGATGATATCGGCTGCCACTGAGGAATCCCTTCTTGCTGTACTCTGTGTTTTTTATATGCTCTCATTCAAACCCTCCATGTGAGGTTTGATTCAGCCCTGTGAGTTAGATATTATTCCCTTTTTACAAAAAAGGAAACAGGCCCAGAGGGTTGAAGTACCTTGCTCAGCTCACAGCTGGAAAGTGGCAGTGCCCTGGATTTGTGGCGTGGTCTGGTCTTCATGATGCCTGCCCCTCTCTGCCCACCCCTGGAGCTGGCCTGCCCACAGAGTGCAGCTGTCACCTCACTGCAGGGTCAGTGGAGGACAGAGGGAGCAGCGACCCCTCGGGGCTGTGATCCGAGGTGGCTCTGCAGGATATACCAACCCCATTCCTTCCCTGCTTCCAAGTTGCCACACTCACCACACATGTGGGGCTGGCTGTTCACTGGTACCTAGCTTGGCACATGGTAGATGTTCAATAAGGAGGTTTTAATTGGGTGAATGAGTATATACTGATTCTTGCCATTAAAAATATCACGATTACTTGAAATGGCTCTGCAAACACATGTGCAAACATGATATAAATACAGAAAAATGTTAATTGTTGAATCTAGGTGATGATATTTGAGGTGCTCATTTTAGTATTCTTTCTTTTCTGTATGTTTGAAATTGTCCATAATAAAAATTTTTAGTTTAAAATTTCTGTATCTATTATCATTTTCCTATAAATATACAGTCATATAACTACCTGATATTCCAGTGTTTAGCCAATCTGTTAGATAGTTAACTGGGCATTTTTCCTTCTATTTAATGTGATTTTAAAACTAGTTGTTTATTTTAAATTGAGATACGTACAGTACAATGCATAAATCTTAGTGTACAACTCAATGAATTTTGACATGTTTACACACCCATGTAACCATCACACAGATCAAGGTATCAAACATTCGTGCTAATTTTTCTCCCTTCATCTGTACCCCCACCCCCTTCATGGCAACCACCAGTCTGTTCTTTGTGTCTATGAGTCTATTTTTGTTTTATTTGATTGTTCACTTGTTTTTTAGAACCCACATACAGATAAAATAGTATGGTATTTGTCTTTATAGATTTTTCTATCTCTTTTGCTATGACGTGCTTGGCATTCTTATATATAAATTGGGGGCTGCTGCTCTGATTTTTCCCCCAGTAATATAGTTTTAAATGTAGGATTACTGGGAAAAGAGATGGACATTTTTTCAGAATCTTTTTGCCAAATTGCTTTCCAGAAAGATTGCACCAATTTATCTTCCCCCATGAAGGTATGAGCATGACTACCTCACCACAGTCTTACTGGCATTTTATGTCATCTTTTTTTTCTAATGTCAGTTTGGTTCATTTTTTAAAGATAATAGCTTGTTCTTCATTTGTGCTCTTGGATCCTTACTGAGGCGAGGCAGCATGTCGTCTGTTTGGTGGTCATTTGTCCATCTTCTGCAATCCATCCAAGTCAAAGCTTCTGCCCACATATCTGTCAGGCTGCTTGCTTGCTTCTTTCTGCTATTAAAAGCTCTATATAGAAGTTCAGATGGTTAGGAAGATCTGGAACAACTTTTTTTTTTTGCATTAAAAAGTTATGTATATTTAGTTCATAATGCGTGATCAAAACCGAAAGTTTCTGTGATGACTGCCCTTGTACTATTCACCATGTAAGAACTTATTCACTATGTGAGAATTTGTTCACCATGTAAGAACTTGTTTGTTATGCTTCAGAAGATTGGAGACTGATGAGAATTAGGCTTGGGGTGGATTAATGATTGTGCATTGAGCATTGACTCCCCTATACAGAATTTTATTGTTGTTAACAACCATTTGATCAATAAATATGAGAGATGCCCTCTCAAAAAAAAAAAGTTATGTATAATTTTGATGTTTAATTTTTTTATTGAAGTGTAGTTGACATACAATATTATATTGGCTTCAGGGGTCCAACGTAGTGATTTGGCAACATGCATTACTAAGTGCTCACCACAGTGAGAGTAGGTGCCATCTGTCACCATGCAAAGCTATTATTATATTAGTGACTGCATACCCTTTGCTGTACCTTTCATCCCTGTGACTAATTTATTTCATAATTGGAAGTTTGTACCTCTTTATGCCCTTCACCTATTTTGCTCATCCCCCTCCCCCACCAGTCTGTTCTCTGTACTTAGGAGTCTATTTCTGGTTTTTTGTTTGTTTGCTTGTTTGTTCATTTATTTTTGGACTCTAAAAATAAGTGAAGTCATACGGTATTTGTTTTCTTGTTTTATGTAAAGTATCCTAGTCTTTTGTTTTTGTTGCATTTTATCTCAGGTTATCAACCATCTTTTAATGTTGGTAATATGTTTTGACATACAGAAAATCTTGATTCTGTGTGTGTGTGGTAGCAGCTGTCAGTTGTCTCCCTTGTAACCCCAACATTCGATCCCCTTCCCACCAGTCACTCTGACTGCTTACAGGAGGCAAGAGGGCCCAGTGGTTAAGTATAGGGACTCTGGTGACAGACGTCTGGGTTCTAATGCCAGTTTTGCTCCCTACTAAATGCCATGACCTTGGGAAAATTTCTTAATCTCACAGTGTCTCAGTTTCTAATTCACAAAATGGGGATGATGAGATTATCTGTTGCATAGGGTTGTGGTAAGGAGCAAATAAGCTATTACTTATAAAGTGCTTAGATTACTTCTGGTAGGTAGTGAGTGCTCTGTACGTTTTTATTGTTAACCTACTGCAGTGAATCTGTGAATCTTATGGTTTGGAAAGGATTTTGTTTGCAAAACTAATACCTTTTCAGTGAAAGTGAAAGCTGGATTTGTCAAGTAGGGGAAGTGCCCTATTAAAAACAAACCTAGCTCTTTGTTAGTTTAACTTGAACTTATGTCCCTATTTTTTTCTTCTTGTTACATGTTATTAAATTTAAACTTATTACACATCCAAGACACCACTGTTCATTGTATCAGCTTACCCAACTCACAGCGTGGGATTTAAGTGTGTGACTGAAGATCCTAAGAAAGTGAACAGAAGAATAAAAGCTAGGAATACTGTTCTCTTCACTTGAGCAGATGTTGGCTGCATGCAGATGATAGATAGGCCAGGAGCCACAGATTCTGTGCTAAGTCGTGGTTGCTGACCCACAGCTGTCCCAGGCTAGGGAGGCTCACTCCTGGACTTGGAACCTGGAACAGAGATGTTTAGGCTATATTCCAGGTGTAGCCCCGGGTGTCCAATGACCTTGGCTGGGGTCCGACAACCCAGCTTCTCTCAACTGCTGCCTGTTTTCTCAGCCCTGTTCTCCAGCCGTTCCTGTGGATTTGGGGAGCTCTCCCCTTCTCTGTCTTTCCAACAAATCCCTTCTCTATTTATCAAAGCCAGAGTCAGTTTTAGTTGTTTGCAACCAAGAACTCAGATTCATACCTGTGACTAATTCCACTTGTGGAGCTGATCCTAGGGAAGTCCCTTTATTCCAGCTAAACTGCCAGCGCCCCCTGGACTCTTGTCTGGTCCCAGTGGGGCCCCAGGCCAGCAGTCAGGAGCCTGAGGTATCCTTGCCAGACTTGCCATCGTTTTGCTTTGTGCCTTTGGACAAGTGACGTAGCCTCCCCGGGCCTCAGTGTAAACGGAGGACTTAGCCTGCAAAATCCTGAAACGCTCCCGTTTCTGCTGGTCTGTGACCTTTGAGGCTTTTTCAGATTTGAGTCCCCAGAAGTGGGGTATCCTCCCTAGCCTCGCTGACTCCCCTTCATTCAACCACACATTCCTACCTCACCCAGGATCCTTGCCCTATCAACCCCAGACTCTTTCCTTTCTTGGAGTATGGATCTGATCCCGTTTTTCTTTAGCCTGTGAGTTCTTGCAGCTTAGGCAAAAGCAGCTTTTACATTTTACCGTGGGAGCCTAATGTAGACATTGACTCTGAAGGGCCAATGAAGATTAAGTACTGGTTTTAGATACCATTGTAAACACTCTGAGAACCATCCTGTTACCTCTGTTCCTGCCCCAGCTGCCCCTTTTCTAGAAGTTCTCCAGGAGGTTTTGGGAAGGGTGGGCTGTGACTCTGGGGCAGGCTGGGCCTCTCCCTGGCAGCCTGGTGTGCAGAGGACCCAGAGCTTCTCATTCCCAGAGAGGAGCTCCAGGTGGGCCCTGCCTGACCTCATGGGGCACCTGCTCTCCGTAAAACCCCGGCACTGGGGCCCCATCAGCTCACCAGCCGCCCACAGGGAAGACAGGGCCGTGTGTGTCTCCTCTGACCTGGTCTTCCCTCCTGTCTGCAGACCATGGGCGATGTGAAGCTGGCTGCCTCAACACACCTTGCCAAAACCTCCCTCAGTGTGGATCGCTCAGGAGTCGACTCCATGCCTCTGGCCGAGGCCCCTGCTTTCATTTTGCCCCCTCGGAACCTGTGCGTCAAAGAAGGAGCCCCTGCCAAGTTTGAAGGGAGGGTAAGAAGCAAGTGTGGCTGCCTGGGGGGCTGGGGGAAGAGGGCACAGGGATTTTGCTGCTCGCGAGCCTTTTCCTCAGACTGGACCTAGCACAGTCCCGGTTTTCTTTGGGACCCACACATAAGTACACATATGTCAATTTGCCCTGTTTCTTTTGTTTATGGTTGACTTTGTGTTGGAGAACTCGGGTGGGGAGGGATGCTGAGATGTCTTGCTGTTAAGCTAGGTCATATTCTGGGTATGTGCTACCTAATAATAGAAGATAACATGAGTTGGTGGCAGGAAGCATACAGCTCAGGTTTTAATATGTAACCTCAAATCTGGATAATTGAAAACTGACTGTAATTTTTCTTTCACTTCCTCCCTCGAAGAAGTGTTTAGTTAATTAGTCCTCTCTTGTATGTGCTTGGTACATCCAGAGAAGTGGGACAGGACGTAGGGCCCACTTGGTACATGCAGAGAAGTAGGATAGTGTGTAGGAACACCTATCAGTTCTTCACCTTTTGCTAGTGCATATTGATCTCTTGCCCTTACTGGGCCTCCACTTCCTCTTCTGCAAATAAGCATGATAATTCCTTGTCTACTCTCTATTAGAAAGGAGAAGAAAAAGATGGAAACATCAAGAATAGCTCTAAGAATATCTGAGGTTATGCCCAAAAGGAGAGCCTTTTAATAAGCTGCTGACTCAGGCTACCGGGAAGTCAAAACAACAACTTGACATGGAGATGCATGTGGAAATTAGGGCATTTGCAAGAATTATTTGTCCTGGGATTAAACATGGGGGATTACTCCCTAGAAGGCTTTGATCTGAGCAAAAGACAACTCAAGTGAATAGCAATTCATAGGTTATACCATGAATTTATAATTTAGGAGCAGGCCATCAAAAGCTTGTAGAAAGAAAGAGTCAAGCACATCATTCTTCCCAGATGACACTGGGCCTTACCTTTAATTGCCAGGTGTGGTCACATGGCCATCTGGAGAGTATGCGGAAGCTGCTACGTATGTGCTCTGCACAAGCCGGTCTAGTTAAGACTGTTGGTTGATCTGACATAATTGTCCTTGTCATATTTCTACCTGAATAAGATTGTAAGGATGTTGGTGATAATACTGAGGGATCTGTTTCTTCTTTCTGGGCACTACCAGGATGAGGGCTCTTTTCTGTGGCCCTGACTGTGGTCCCCCCATCCCTGTAGCCCCACAGCTGGCAGGAGAGAAGCAATGAAAGAATCCCTGGGGATTTAGAAATGGATTAAACAGCCATAAAAAGGAATAAGGCTCTGAGATATGCTGCAATGTGTATGAACACTGGAAACATTATGCTATGTGAAAAAAGCCAGACACAAAAGGCCACCTGTTGAATGCTTGCATGCCCATGAAATGTCTGGAATAGGCAAACCTATTGAGACAGAAAGTAGATTAGTGGGTGCCAGTGACTGGAGGGGGAGGAGTGGGGAATGACTGCTAATGGGTACAGGTTTCTTTTGGGCATGATGAAAATGCTCTGAGATTAGATACTGATGCTGGCTGCACAAGTTTGTGAGTCTCTTATAAAACACTGACTTTACACTAAAAAAAAATAGAAAAATGAGCTTTAAAAAACAGCTTAGCCAAACAGAACTCATCTCTATTCCCATGCCTCTGCCCCACTGCCTCTGGGAGATGAACGTCCTCCAGTTCAGACAAACGTGGAGAGGACGAGATGACTTCGCCTTCCAGAGCATGATGATGCCCTTGCTTCCTCTGCTGCCTTTGGAGGTCATGGGGGAGCCAGTCAGGCATCTGATTTGGAGCCGTCACAGAGTGAGCACTGGCCCTGGATCCGGCTCAAGAAATCATCCTCGGTTGGCAGGTCGTACCTTCTATGGACCTGGTTTTCCTTATCTGAAAAGAAACAACTAGCTGTTTCTGTATTTTTGGCCTACAGGGAAATATGAAAATAAAATGGTAAAAGCACTTGATAAAATTAAAAATTGTGAAATTCACACAACATAAATTTAACCACCTTAAACAATTCATTAGTAGTTTAATGCATTCACAGTGTTGACTGCAGTAGGCTTTAAGTATAGCATTCTCTATTTGAAAATTTCACTTTGCTTATATTGATGAAATCGTTGACTCTGTATATTACATGTGGAGTATATGTCAGACCAAACACATTCCTGCACAGTCAGCCTGCAGACTTTATCACTTTACTACTCACCACAGGCCTCGGGTTAACCCAGAGCAGCCCCTTGGCAGGATGCTAGGGAGTAGCGGATTGCCGAGAGGTCTTAGACAGAGGGTCTGGCTCCATCTAAGAACTTGCAGAGAAACACAGAGGGAGAGGCAGTAACAGCAAGCGCTCTATGAACTAATGTACTACCAACGTGTATAATCACTCTAGCAAAGGAGGCAGAGGGATATTTTGCATCGGAAAGGGCCACTTCAAATGATTCCAGAATGAGGAAATTGGCTGTTTTGACCAGAGATGTAGTTGAACAGGGAGTATTCCTGACCTGATGCCCTCATAGAAGGGAAGGTGAGGTGGTATTAACTTGGAGTGACATGGCATTCAGCTGGAGTTGCTAGTTAATAAAAGACAGCTCCAGACAGTCACCCAGTGAGCCTAGCCAGTGGTCCTCTGCCTCCCGGGCATGCTAATTTTCACTGGTGTGGCCCCTGGACCCGGCCTGCAGCTGACCCATCTCTCCAGGTCCTGGAACACATCCTGTTCCTGATGCCCATTCTGTCCCAAACTAGTCCTGGTGTCAGTTTCACAGTGACCTTAGGACCTCAGCTTTCCAGCAGTTGGGTACTTGTAGAATCTCTCAGGAGTGAGTGACTTTTAAAAATTACGCCTTCAGGCTACTTCTTAGCCCCAAGCTGGTGCCCATAGGCAGGAATTCTCTTCCTTGTAGCCGCCCAGCCGCCCCCAGGAGCTCTGCCTGCTTTCGTCCCCACCCCTCTTTAAGGCGGCCATCACCAGCTCAAACCCTGAAGTCTGTATGTGGAGGATAATAGGCTGTCCCAGCTTTTTCTGGAGGGGACCAGGGACCCTCCCATCAATGGAGAGAAACATGGTATGTGAGGAAGTCATACAGCTTTGTTTCCTACTGCCGTCTGAAGCTGGTGACTCCAAGCTGGTTCAGGTTTGTGTTCTGTTTTTATTCCTAAAAGAGGTAAGAACTGTTGCCCCTCCTGCTTCCATTTCCTTTTTATGCCTATTTTTAGGCCAAGGACTTAGTGAACCCCTTCCTCCAATAAAGCCCCTCTTTCTTTCAAGAAAACTTGAGTGACACTACTTATGTGCCCCTTTCCTGAGAAGCTCCAAACTATGAAATGTTTGGCTCTGTGGGTCTCAGTCGCTCACAGACATTAGGGCCTTTCACTTTGTGGAGATGTTTGGACAGCCTCCATGCAACCTGTTACCGATCCCTGGTGCTCTTGCCCTTGCCCTTTTCCACTCTAGAAGCTATTGTAGAGGCATCCTTTGTGGCGAGGAGTGGCTCAGTGACAAATTCTGACTGAAGTTGGCTAGGGAATTTCTGGAAAAGTTCTTGCTTTTCTGATTAAAAATAGAAAGACATCTTTCATATTCTACCCCTCCCCTACTTTGTGCATTGAAGACAGATATGATGCCTGAAGGCAGATATTTAGCCGTGCTAAAACCATGAGGCAACAAGCCAGAACACTAAGGACTGGCTGGGTGGGCACAGTTGGGGTAGAGCAGTGGGGGGAGCATGAAGACCAGCACCCAAGAGACAGAAATCCTAAGGTTTAAAGGCTTTCCCAGATAGGATCTTTGGCTGTGGTTATTCACGCAGGAAATTGTATAAAAAGTACTCCTAACTAATAAACAACTAATGAGATACATGTGGTGATACTGTCTCTTTAAATTATGGGAATGAATAGGGGAGAAGACATAGCACAGAGAGCTAAAAAAACTCTTTCCGACAGTTACCAAGTCTTCCAACAGTGATGAGAGTGCTATCTTCTGAGGTGGATGTGGCCCTGCAGCTAAAGCATTCTAGAAGAATTCATTCCTCCCTGGAAATGGCCATCTGGCTTGAACCAAATGCTAGGCCTAGGGTCCATGGAAGTCAACTATATAGGGTTAAATGGTGATTCAGTGTCATTATAGAAAACTGTTATTTGATCAAGATTTACTGATTAGGCCAAAGCTACCTACTTTTTTTTGGCGGGGGGGCTCTGCCAGCTTGAGAAAGTTGTATTTTGAGGAACTCAGAAAACTTTGGATCTGTATCTCATTACACCTTAACCCCCAGGCCACCTGAGCCTACATTCTAGAAACCCATGTTCCTTCATCTGGCCATGCCCTTAACAGAGCAGGGGATGTGTCTGTCCAAGGGATGTACCCACTGGAACCACACCATCCCCCATGTTCTGGGCACCCAGGACCCCAGAATTCTCTACCAAGTGGCCCTGGGCCCACCAAGGCCTCTGTGGGCCTCTTCCCATGAGAAACCGTTGCTCACCTGACTGAGGGTGTCAAGAGGCAGCTGTTTCCTCGGGGGGATGGGAAGATGGATGGAACCCAGACATGGGGCCCTGTACATGGGGCTCTGCTGTCCACCACACATAGGAAACCCGCACATGCAGGAGGCATACAGGTGGGGAGGGTAGTATCCTGGGCTGCACCCCTGCCTGCTGAGGGCTGCTGTGTGGGTACTGGGCCCCCAGGTAGGTGGCCTTGGCCCCACAAAGGCCACGGAACCTCCTGAAGTGACAATGGCCTACTTCCCCAACGTGGTCAAGTATGAAAGGAATGAGATGGTTGCAGAAACATTGAATTACTGGAGATTGCTTCCCTCTGCCCTGGAATTCATTCTTATCAGAAAAAGCAAACATGGTGATGGGTCCTGTGCTGCGAAGCAAATGAGCTGATACTTCCGTGCCTCTCAAGAAGTACTGCCCAGGTGGGGCTTCTGTTCAGACTGAGGGTCTCCGTTTTACTGACCTGGGCTTCACAATAAGGGGTTGGCCAGCCTAGTCAAAGCATG